ACATAATTAGCGATAGAAAATCAATAATTAGGGATAAATTACATTAGAGCACGCCATAAGAGTACTAGAGAATTAAGACAACATAAGAGAGAAATATTTACTACTATTTTTTTCGTGATTCCAATATTTTTTTTAATATTGTATACATTTGCCCCCGTATTACTTGGCGAGATTTCACGAAGTACTTATTTCTTTGCAACACGAGAGGAATTGTGTAGCCTCATTTCTAATTCAAATGTTGCGGCTTCGCCATTATGTCGATTTACATATTACACATTCATCTTTTAAGTTTCTTTTTAAATTCCCACAATGCTTTAGAGAAAAGATGTTCGGGATAAAAAGGAGTAAAACTGCAATCTTCGTCCTCTTTCTTAATCAATATTTTCTAAATTCATTGTGAAGTGTTAATTTTTTTAACAAGTCTACATGTGAAGAGAGTGTTTTCTCTTTCTCTAATACATGTTTCACTATTCATACAGACATATCACGAATACGACATGAAAAATTCTCAGAGTTCAAGAATAGTGGTCGTCGGCACGACTGGCAGTATATTTTGCTTTTGTTGAAAATTAACATCCTATCTGTCTCAACGCCTTAGATTTCTTACGAAAACCAGGCGAAATGGGCATGGCCACACTGTCTCTTTGCTGAATAAATCTGGCAACGACGGGCTCCTGTGAATACTACTATTTATTTTTCATGAGCTTTATCTTTATAACAAAGCTTTAACTGCAACGAAAGCAGAGAATATACAATCCTTTTTTTTTCATACGTTGCAATAGTAGTTTAGGTTGCGGTTCGCTTGATCCAACATAATCTTTCTAAACGTGAAAAGACTCGACGTAATCCACCATATCCAGCTTTTCACGCTTCACAAGCAGTATCTTATATATCTAATGATTGAAACTCGTTGTGAGTAAAGCCAGATCATGATGATTTGTGCGATACCTATCAACAACGGTTCCCTATTCCGCACAAGTTTCGCCATGATCTCGCATCATCGACAAATATACATATAGAGCTTTTCCTTGTCGCGATACATAGAGGCGACATATGCATAGATCCGATCCATGGATACACAATCATAATCGATAAGTAAATCTATTTCTTATTGTTTGAATAAACGAAGGACTTTATTACCGCCGTTTGTTTCAGTTCTTTCAATGCTACATACGAGATTGCAATAATTATAACTTTCCTTCGCTAATTGATTTTTTCCTTTCTTTCAATTTCTCTCTCTCTCTCTCTTTCGCTTCATCTCTTTATCTCTATATGATCAAGAAAACCTGTATCAGGCGTTTTAAGATTCATTATCATTTGTCATAGATTGATCCGGGTACAGAGATATATCTATATATATATATACTTAAATATACATATATATATATAAAGTCTATTCTTTTTAACTCTTTTTTATCTCTCTTCCCGCAGATACAATCTCATGAATTCTTAACACATAATGATACAGAATATTTTGTTATCCGACTCGCATCTGTGATCGATTAGCTAACATTTCACTCGACGACGACATATTTCTTCTTGAGTCAAATATTTAAACGTACAGGACATTTTAAATGTGTCACTTTTTCCAAGCTTTTTGTAGCAGTATCAATCAGCGCTCGTGATTAACTCTTTGCCATTCTTATAAATATATATATATATTCAGTATTATATTTAATAATGGAAATGCTTAATATAAACGTCTTTTCGAATGCATAAAGACGAAAAGTTTATGTTGTTAAAACTAAAGAACGGATAGAAGTGCGTATAAATAATGTTATTTTCCTACAAGTTTCCTTCTTTCGATATAGCACAAAAATCAGATTTTTAATTCATCTATTTAACTGCTATAGTCGATTATATAAGCACGTGATTTCGTAGATAAACGAATTTCATTGTGACACTGCGTGCTCTTTTTCTCATGATATAAAAAAGCACGTCAATCTTTGCCCTTATTTTTTTCGACGAAATTATATCAAAGGTTTAACCAAAGAAAGATGTTTTTCCACACAAATGGAAGAGCAAGTATGTTCACCTTCACATAATAATAAATATTCACGTATTTCACTCGTTTTGCTGATTCACTTCCTCCTTATTGTTATCACTATCTTGTTGATTCACATTGGACTTGTTACCTACAGGCTGTGTTCCAGAGGGGCCATCATTCAACTTGTCATTATGATTATCAGCTTTGTCATTTGAATCCATCTTAACATTTCCTAAAGAAATAAAGTACAATTGTTAATTAAATATTATTCATATAGTTATATAATTTCTGTACGCATATCTGTGTGTGCGCTTTACAAACCTTGCGATGAATAATATTGCTGTTGCATCTTCATGTTACGTTGCTGCTGCTGCTGCTGCTGGTGTAAATTTGGTCTGTGACGGTTAATTTGAGCTTGTTGCTGCTGTTGCGTTGGCATACAAGCAGGTTGCTGCTGTGTGGGGTTATTCGGATTTGGACCTGGTGCAAATGGTACTACAGGTCGCTGTATCGGAGGCGGATAACGTTGTTGCGATGGTTGGATACCAGCACGAGGCGGCATACCCATTCCACGTACATTCTGTTGCAAAACCTGCTCGTTTATATGTAAAAGTAAAAATTGCAGAATATATATTATTATATCATTTTTCAAGTATAACCAGATGTTTTAAATGTACATATTCTTTATTGTAGTATTAGATTATACTTAAAAATTCTTTTATAAGAAAACAATTTGTCCTTATATATATTATATATTTACGCGCGCCCATATATAATTCTTATTTCTTTACTGACAGAAAATAATTTCTATACATATGTTTAATTTAACTTGATAAGAGAAAAATATAGAGAGAAAAAGATGCATGCATAATATATAAATGATAATTTTAATGAATAAATGGTACATACGTAGTTATTGTAGCTGCTTACCAGAGCAGACTGGCTAACGCCCTGATATTGTTGATATTTGTGATGCTGTGTAGGACTTGGCTGTGGCTGTTGCGACGAAGATTGTTGTTTGCAATTTCTCGATTTAGGTGACGGTATTTGAGAAGCTAGAATTAGAATATTGACTTAATGCAATTTGACAGAAAACTCATTACCGAATAATCATTAAATTTTTTCAAAGAAACAATTATGAATTTATCCGATAATTTTGATACTTTAGAAAAGAAACTTTTGAAAGATGCATCTAAAGTATAAAATTATAAAAATTCATTTTTTTGTATCAAATAAAGCTATTTGTGATAAAACCATTTTTTGTTGATTATTTTTTAAATTGACGAACGATTGAATAATGAGCTTACTCGAGCCAAAAACTGATGCAAGTACATCTTGTTGATTTCCCGACGGGCTCTTCAATTGTCTGGGTTGCTCCTGTGGTTGATGCTTACTAAGAAATGTGGGCGCCGCATTTCCTGGTCCTGGTAAACCACCAGTGGGATTGCGAAATTGTTGAGCCGCCGCTGCTATTTGCAATCCTGAACTAGACAAAAAACTGGGACCATAGTTTTGTAGACCGACAGGAGTCGCATTACCCGTTGCCAGACTTTGGTTATGCTGGCCAAATCCTTGCAAACCGTAATGAGTTCCAGTTTGTTGAGTGGCACCACCAGATTGGTAAAAACCCGTTTGTGATCCAGGGAACACATCTAAAAATACATTAAAATAGTAAATAAAATACATTAAATAAAAAGTAACGTGAGCAATATTCATGAATAAAAACGTCATATTTACCGGCAGATGTGGCGCTATAATAACTATTGGCAGATGCTTGAACATTTGGGCCAGGTCTCTGTACTAATTGCGAATTGTTCAAGTAACTACCGCTTACACCAAGCACTTGATTTGGATCGTATGGTATATAAGCCAACTGAAAAAAAAAAAAGAAATAATAATAATAATAATTTGTTAATATTGTTAGATTTATTTTATCTTTACCAGAATAACTTTATAATGAAATCTCACCTGATTAGGTTGAGGAGCGGATTGGGTCTGGAAATGCGGAGCTTTAGTTCCGATAGCTCCGATTGGTTGAGACGATGGTTTGACGCTCGCCGACATCAAAGAATTTGACGATGAGCTGATAAGTACCGTATTAGGATTGTTGCTAAGTTGTTGATTCTGTCCAAACGGGGGAGCAGCTGCCGCAGTCTATTATGAGAAATTCGTAATGAGAAAGATTAATCTATTTCCATTTCAATATCCGTGTAATGAGAACGAGAATAGTTATAAATGAAATGAAATTCACGTACGATGCGGTATTGAGATAAATTGTTTTGATACATTTCCGGTGTGGGGGCATTCGGTGCGTGAGGCGGCGGCGGTGGCGGTTGCTGCAAGTATACGTTTTGTTGGCTAAACGAGCTCTGGAGAGACGGAGCGTACGGCGCGTACTGCGTAAACGGCGATCGGCTTTGATCCAATTGAAATGCTCCGTATAAACCGCCCGCTTGAGCCGGCAATTGTCCTGAGCCTGTGTTAAATAATACTGCCGGTGGCGATGGTATGGCCGACATGCCGCCGTATTGTGCCGCTTGTGAACCAGGATATTGCGGAAACTCCTAAAAAAAAAAAAATAAAACCATTTTTTTATTTCTATTCCATTCTGCATATATCATTATTTTCGAAATAATAAATGGGATAAAAACGCAACGTACCTGATAGTTGATGTGCGAGGGCTGGCCTGTAGAATTGAACGGGGGTGGGCTTAGAGGACCTTGAAGACTAACGGGAGGATGGCCGATAGGACTCTGACCGGCTCCAATGGGACTCGGCCCAGGCACGGTGGATCCCGGTTGCGTACCGCTACCCCCCGAAGATTGTTGCTGCGGCTTCACCTGCGGGGGAACCAGCTGCGCATCAGGCAAAGAGTCAGCATCTTCCCACAAGGGACATTATATGTTTCAATATTAAGTTGCTATATACATCATGTAAACAGCCATTTTCAACAAACACATTCGTCGGCAAAAAAAGAAAATTGTTCTCAGATCTGTTTTGAGAAAATCTGGTGAAAATGTGAATAGGTTCATTATACTCTTTGTGTAAAAATACACGTACCTTGTCTTTTAAATGATATTAAAATATATATAATAATTACAAAAGGTATAATACATGTAAATAATGCATGTAAATGATAATGAGCAATAATAATAATAATAATAATAATAATAATAATGAAATACTGTGATAAGATATTCAA